CGTAGTAGACGCTGAATTGACCGTCACTCCCACACTACTCACCATAATTGCCAAATTTAACAAAGTAATGTTTTGGAGTAACCACGTGACAACGGTAGTTAAATAGGTTAATAATACAACCAACAAGTAGAGCAGCTGTGAGAAACACCATAAGTACGCCAGCGTGGCCAGTGATAGATAATGTCACTGCCAGCCAAGAGCCAGGATAACCCATTGCTTCTGGGAAGTAGATTACAGGTATTATAAAACCAGTGTACACAGTGTCGAATGCAGTGGATGACGCTTGGTAAGCAAGCAAATACCATTTATAAGCGCCCATCTGCCTCGTTGATTTGTAGACAATGCAGTAAAAGGCGAATAGATTCATAAAAAGAGCGATGATTGACAAAGAGTGCATCACACTCATGTAGAGATCGTTTTTTAGTTCAACATTATCGCAGCTGGTCATGACTGGCTTGATGAAAAAACGTTTGCCTGAGTGACGGATGCACAACGATCACAGACTGCTACGAGATGATTACTCTTGGGAACACAAAAGCACCTGTCGCCGCAAATGCTGTTTGCTGGTTTATGGCTTGGATAGCGCTTAGCTTGGTAGACATACGAAAAAATTACTTATACTTATGGTTAGAGAAGCAAAACATCTTGGCACTGTAGAATCTCGGTCACGATTTCGTGCTCTTCTTCCTTGAAGGCGAAGGTTCGCGTTCCACAGGTGTAGAAGTCAAAATATGGCGTAGGGAGGGTAGTGTGGTCCGCGACGAACAACCTTGTACCGGTTTCGCGGCAAAAATTGTAAGGGAGGGGCGCTATAGCGCAATATAGGTTCAGTGACGCCTCCTTTTTCCAGTGACTCCGCCTCCAGACTCCGCCTTAAAGCCCGCTTCCAGTGAAAAACGATGCTGTAGGACGAAAAAGCATGAAATCGTCACTTGTACGGTCGAATAGTTCTTATCGGGGAATCCGCCATGCGGATGAGGGCTGAGTGTTGAAGATGGAGTCCATTGGGCACGAACAAACTATGATTGGAATAGGGCTTCTATTCAGAGCTATTGTTATGCATTTTCTGCTTTTTCCTTAACTGTCGAGTTGCTCAGAACCTTGCCATCTATATGCAAACCCCAGCACTACCTATGATGGCAAATGATCGCGGGCTCTGCCTTCAAGGATTTTCGCACGTTACACTGGTACAGAGGCCAAGCAAAAGATAGAAGGTAGAGGCCGCTCAACAAATGTCACCTTCCTTAAGACT